CAAACTATTTCCTTCAACTTTACACTTGATCTTTGTGCTGGTCACTGTATTTCCTTAGTTTAGAAAGTATTGTTAGCATAGAAAATTTGTTAATGATATTGCTAGTTTCAGCGTGCTAGCAGTCGACCAAATGTCATGTGTCAATGCTCGGATTAAACTCTATTTTTGGGAGATATGTCTCTATGCTTCTCTTCCATTTTTGTACAGAGGTTTTAGTTTTGGAATGTCAATTCAAGGATGTGTGTGGAACAGACAGCCGGGGAGGAGAGGCAAAGAGACACCCTTCAGAGCAGTGTTTTCAACCTTTCTTATCTTACGGCACACTTGAACCTATGGTTAAACTTCTGTGGTGCACTTGAATTATTTTGATCAAAAAAAAAATAAAAGAATATACTTACTGTGCTTCGAATTTCTTTTGAAAATAATTTAATGAATGGTCTTTAGCAAATTTCACGGCACACCCGTTGAGAATCACTGCTCTAAAGGAATAAGCAAGCACACTTACTATCTGCATAAAAGGTTGGGGATCCCTGAGCCCAGAGTTCTTCACCATGTGCCGGTGTCCCTTGGCCTCTTAGTGTCACCTTGTGAGAATTTTAGCTGGAGGAGCCACTGCATGAAAGGGTGACACCGTGGCTGACGATGTTGCTCTGAGTTGTAAACCGTTCTTGGTGTCTGACCCACAAGTCTCGCATCTTCTGCCGCCTTCCATAACGCTGCGGCAGGTGAACTCATGAGCTTTCAAGTTAGGGAAAGTCTCAAGTTAGAGATAGGCCCCCTCGGGTTGATATCTCATCTCTCTCTGGAAATTTCCTCAATCATCAACCCACAGTGTTTTCTTCTTCTTGACATTCACTAATTTGTATGTATTGGTAGCGTTTAGTTGTTTATCTTTTTCTTGATTTGTTTTCTCATCCCAAAGATATTTTACAGCGAAAATACTTTGCATTTCAGCAAAGCATAATAAATGTCAGGTATTATGCGACTTGCAAAATTATAGACATGTAGATAACTATAAACATCTATAATTTATCGTATTTACCTGTTTTAGAATGTTTATAGAATGTGCTTTATTTCATTGAGAATTTAAAACATATGTTTTAAGTTGTTTTGCAAGGCCCAGAGTATGAACAAGTGAATATCCACTCCTAAAATGTCTTCGTGTTATAATTTCCCTAAAATATTTACCAGGGTGTGTTTTATATATCACGTATGTAGTATTCTGTTTTCAGTAGTATTTACGTATGGCCATTTGTTGGGAAATTACTAAGCATGAGGCACCATGGTATGTTTGTGACGTGGATTATCTTATTTCTTTCTCTCAGTTTTCCTCAAAAGGAGCATGTTTTTATCGTCTTCAGTTATCAAATCGGCAAGTGCTAGAGTTGCCTCTCATACCCACCTCTACTTCACTCCTGCACCTGAGCGCCTAGTTATTACACTCTGCTGTGTAATGAAGGGAAGGAGGGAGAAAAGCACAGCTACATTGTCTTATCTGGAAGTTCCAACATTGTTTAGTTTAATACCACAGGGGAAGTGGGAGGGGATTGGTGTGCTCCCCCCAATCCCCCCTCCTCCCCTGCTGGAGAGGCCCAGGGTGAGGGTCTCTGGCACACCTCCCGGGTGGGGGACACAACTGCAACAGGGACTCTACCTAACAAATGCAAACACTGTAACCTAATCGTTTGTACCCTTATACTAATCTGGACTATATATATGTGTATATATGTATAGTACTATATATACACTATACTATGTAGGTATAGTACTATATATAGTTTATATATATTTATAGTATATATGTAGATGTATAGTACTATATGTAATACATACATGTATTAGTCCAGATTAGTATATATAAAAAATTATATATATTTATATTCCATATACACATATATATCTATCACTTTAGTCCTTACTAAATGTATATATATAGTACAGATTAGTATAAGATTAGTAAGGACTAAATTTATAGATATATATGTATATGGAATACAAATATATATAATTTTTTATATATACTAATCTGGACTATATATATGTGTATATATAGTACTATACATACACTATATACATACGTATGCTATATATATATATGTGTATATATATATATAGTACTATAGCTGTATGGTACTATACGTATATAGTATATATACCACACACACACACACACACACACACACGCGCACACACATAGTCCAGATTAGTATAAGGGCACAGATGATTAGATTACAGTGTTTGCATTTGTTAGGTAAAGTCCCTATATATAATTTTTTATATATACTAATCTGGACTATATATATGTATATATATAGTACTATATATATATACATATAAACTATGTATTATATATATAATTATATTTATATATATAAAATTATAATTATATATAATGTATTGTATATAAATATATATTTATACTATACATATATAGTCCAGATTAGTATATATAAAAATTATATATATGTCTATTCCATATACATACATATATATCTATAAATTTAGTCCTTAAGTACTGTTTTGACATGTGTAATACCTGAGCTTCACTTACTATGGTTATAGTAGAATTCAGTGTATACTCTTGCTATGTTAAGCCACTATTAAGAAAACTACAATCTGGAAACTCCTAAATTGTGGTTCCCTCAGCAACTACAGCTCAGCCTCAGGGCAGTGAACCCTGCTGTTCCCAGTGAGCACCATGTGTAGTGACATGAAATAATATTCCACATGCTCTTGGGGGCCCTGGTAATGGCCACTGTGGGAACAGTGTGTAAATTATCAGTGGCCGTTTTATCATGGTAGTTTGGGCGTTTTGTTGCTGTGGCTATTTCATGGTGCAACATAGGTGTTTCCACCAGTGATGCAGCTTTGTGACATTTTGGCAGTGCTTAAATTATTAATGAATCCGGAAATAAAATGTCTGTAACTTGTAAGATTTTTATTTTTATGTTTCGCATCTGGTTTGTAACCTGTCATGTTTGTTCTCCCTCTTACCTCCTACTTCCAGCGGAAAAGCAGCATTGTGGGAGTGCGTGTTTATACTCAAAGCGCAGTTCCTAGGCAGGTTCAAGCTGCTGGTTAACCTTTGTAATGTATTATGTGCTGGTGCTTAACGGAGATAGATGATGAAGTAGTGCATGTGAGAGCCTCAGAAGACACGGGATCATCAATCTTCAGATAGCCGGGCTTCACGCAGTGCACTTCCACCCACAGTGCATGGGCAGAGCTGCAGCTCGTAGGGAAGGAACTCAGAAGCACAGCTGCAGCTCATAGAGAAGGCACGCACGGGCACAGCTGCACCTCATAGAGAAGGCACACACGGGCACAGCTGCAGCTCGTAGTGAAGAGGGCACGGGCACAGCTGTAGCTCATAGAGAAGGCACACACGGGCACCTCGTAGAGAAGAGGGCACGGGCATAGCTGTACCTCATAGAGGAGGAATGCATGGGCATAGCTGCAGCTGGTAGAGGAGGAGGGCACAGGCACAGCTGCAGCTGGTAGGGAAGGAGGGCACAGGCACAGCTGCAGCTGGTAGAGGAGGAGGGCCCGGGCACAGCTGCAGCTGGTAGAGGAGGAGGGC